GGCGGTCAAAAAGGCAAATAGGATGCTAAGAATTATTAGGAAAGAGATAGAAAATAAGAACCAGAATATCTTACTGCCCTGTATAAAACTATGGTATGCCCACATCTTGAATACTGTGTACAGATGTGGTCTCCTCACCTCAAAAAAGATATTTTGGCCTTGGAAAGGGTTCAGAAAAGGGCAACTAAAATGATTAGGGGTTTGGAACGGGTCCCATATGAGGAGAGGTTAAAGCGACTGGGACTTTTCAGTTTAGAAAAGAGGAGACTGAGGGGGGATATGATAGAGGTCTATAAAATCATGAGTGGTGTGGAGAGGGCTGATAAAGAAAAGTTATTTATTAGTTCCCATAATAGAAGAACTAGAGGACACCAAATGAAATTAATGGGTAGCAGGTTTAAAACTAATAAAAGAAAGTTCTTCTTCACACAGCGTGTAGTCAACCTGTGGAACTGCTTGCCAGAGGAGGCTGTGAAGGCTAGGATTATATTAGATTTTAAAGAGAAGCTAGATAATTTCATGGAGGTTAGGTCCATAAAAGGCTATTAGCCAGAGGATAAAATGGTGTCCTTGGCCTCTGTTTGTCAGAGGCTGGAGAGGGATGGCAGGAGACAAATCACTTGATCATTGTCTTTGGTCCACCCTCTCTGGGGTATCTGGTGCTGGCCACTGTTGGCAGACAGGCTACTGGGCTAGATGGATCTTTGGTCTGACCCAGTACGGCCGTTCTTATGTTCTTATCCCTTTATCAGAAGCAGCAAGGGTAGGGGAGCTAGAGGTTTGGGGGAAAACGGCTTAAAAGCCAGTTCCCCCAGCACCATCTCCGTAAGAGGCAACGGACACAGAGGCACAGCAGGGACTGGGCATGAGCCGAAACAACTGAGTCCCAGCTTGCGCTAGTTCCTCGCTGCGGCTTTGCCTTTTAAATGTAGTAAGAGCAGTCTGGGGTTAGCTTATTACAGTTAAAAGGCATAGATGCAGTGGCTCTGCAGTTTCCCCATTTATTGAAGAGTTGATGGAAATTCCATCAACTTCTCGATTAGCTGATTAAACGCTATTTAACATCCTTAATGTGGAAGTTATGAAGCAACTTAAGAAACCACACAGTCATTTAGTAGTCTTGATCTAGCAGTTATCAGTAAATTTGTGAAAATGATTTAGCCCTTCAGACTTTGTTGTGTGGTTTTTTTCCTCATATTACAGGCTCTTCTGATACTGACATTTAAAAGGTAAATACTGTATTCAGAGCTCAGTACAGGGAATTAACAACACGACTCCTGTGGGTTTTAATGGCTGAAATCCATGGGAGTTGTGTGTCTTAATTCCTAGTGCATCATGCTAAACATTTACCCCCTTACTATCTGACTGAAAAAATTGTCTGGCTTTCTGACTGCTATTTGTCCAGTTCATAGGCTAAACCAAATCCTCAAGAACAGTGACAAAATTCACTTAAAGTATGTACAGTATGGAACAACTACTGTAATTTAGTTATCAGAATCTTATAGGGTAGAATGGTGCCTGACCAGCTTACAGCATCATGCCTATTAAATGCTAAAAACTGTAATTTAATGCTTTTTATTTAAAATTGCCATTTCATAATAAATTCAAAATATAGTTAGCAGCAGGTGAACCACTGTTTAACTGTCCAAACACAGCTGGAATGTGTAGATGGAAAATGTCAGAGAGAAAAAAGCATCCCAGTGCGGTGGTGTGAGCTTCTGGAAAAAATGTTTCATAATTTTGTGTGTGTCAAATTAATCATAGACTCATAGAATTGAATGGAAAGACTTATTAGATCATGGAGTCCATCCCACAATCAACATGGGTTTGTTAGATGCTTGGCTTCCATGATAATAAGCAGGGCTCGACAATCTATGTAATCTACTCGCCCGTGGCAAGTAGGTTACATCCCGGAATAGCCGGCTTCAAGCGATCTGCGCATGCGCAGAACGCTGGACTGTGTGGCTGGCGAGCGGGGCTTGCCGCGGCTCAGCAAGCCCTGATGATAAGAAGGTAAAATTCCCTAAGGAAAAAATATATAATTTTTAGAGCTTGTTTGTTCTGTCTAATTTTAGAGGTCCCAAGTAACCTGGTTGTCATGGTATTTTCCTGATAGTCATCCTAAACTTGGCATATAATTAAGTTATTTAAAACAGAAAACTAAATTATTTATTTCGTTTTACATCTGTTGTATCATTATATTGCACTAGAGTTTCCCAGCATTGCTCAGCTCCTTAGCTCAATTAATTTTCATTTTTCCTCATTTAAATCATTCCTCTTGGATGAAGCTGGGGATGAGGAATTCACTATGCAGGCTGCCTCAGGGAGAGAGGACTACACCCCCCTGTCCCAACCCCCCTCCAAATTCTTTCCCCATCCCCATACTCTGTCCCCACTCCCCTGTCCCCAGCTGTAGAACTCCATCCCCATTCCCATCCCCACTGCCCGAACTCTGTCCCCATTCCCCTGTCCCCAGCTACAGAACTCGGTTCCTTCCCCATCCGCATCCCCACTCCCACTCCCCGAACTCTGTCCCCACTCCTCGTCCCCATCCCCAGAACTCTGTCCTCATTCCCCTGTCCCGAGCCACAGAACTGTCCCCACTGGCACCCTGTCCCCAGCTGCAGAAACCTGTCCTCTGCCCTCCCAGCACCCTGTTCCCTCTCCCCTGCCTTCAGCTGCAGAACTCTGTCCCTACTGGCACCCTGTCCCCTGCCAAAGCACCCACTAGCACCCTTCCCCAGTACTGTGTCCTCTGTTCCTACTAACACAGTTGGGGCCACATTAGTGAAGCTTGGGGGGTGGGGAGGTGGAGGAAGATTTTTTTGCATCTCATTTGTGTGGCCCAAACTGACTTTTCTTGGGTCAGTGACCCCTGGCTCAAGACAGGCTCCCTGCCCTTCTCAGAAATAAAGACAATTCAGAAACTTTTTGTTTGACACAGTATTTTATTTAAAAATGAATCTTGGCCAACAAACCCCAAATAGGGGCCAAGCTCCCACCTGGCCACAGCATCATAACACTCCTGCGCTCCCTTTTCCCCCAGACCCTACATCTGAGCCTACACTGGAACCCCCTGCCCTGAGCCCCTCACATACCCCAACCCAAATTCCTGAACCCTCACATCCAGAAGTCTGTGGCTTGCTTAGTACCCCAACCCTACATCTGACCCCAGCACTCCCCAGCCTGGCGCCCTCTTCCTGAACCAGTGCCCCTTGTCCATCTTCTCCTGCATCCAGATTTTCTCCCAGAGCTTGCACCTCTCACTCCTTCCCACACCCAAATCCCTCATTCCCACCCCAGACCCTACACATCCTGTCTCAACCCAGCAAGTTTACGGCTAGACTGCAGAGGAGACTAGAGAGGGTGGAGCTTCAAGGAAGGGGCGGGGCAGTAGATCTTGGCTTGTTCTGTCATTTAAAAAGTCATCTTAGGTGTGAAAAGGTTGGAGACCACTGATCTAGCTGAAACAGTCTTGGAAGTGATAGTAATCATCGTTGAGAACTCATAAGGGCAAACATGGTACCATTCTTCAAAATGGGAACAAAAAGGATTTGGGGAATTGATTAATCATCTGAATTTTGATACCTGGAAAGACACTAGAGCAAATTAGTAAGCACTCATTTTGTAAGCATCTGGGTAGTAACCCTGTCAAAGAAGGAAATTGGTTTGGGATAATTTCTTTCTGACAAATCCTCACTGGCTATTCCTTAGAACCCTAATATCTGCCAGATGCTTACAAAATGAGTAGGGGGGAAGCAGTAGATGTGATATATCTTGACTGTAGTAAGGCTTCTAACCAAGTCCATCATGGCCCTTTTCTTTGATAAACTAGGGAAGTGTCATCTAGGTAAAATTACTTAACGTGAGTGCACAACTGGTTAAAAGTTCCTGCTCAAAGAGTTGTTATGCAGGGTTCACTGCCAAACTGTGAGGATGTGTCTAAGTGCAGTTCTGCAGGGGTCAGTCCGGCATCTGGTACGATTCAATAGTGTCATTAATGACTTGAATAATGAGGTGGGCAGTGTCCTTATAACATTTTCTGATGACACCAAGCTGGAAGGGGTGGCAAGCATGTTGAAGGACAGGATTACAATTTAAAAAGGCCTTGATAAATTGGAAAATTGATGTGAAATCAGCAAGATGAAATTTTCTAAATTCAAACACAAAGAACTTCACTTAGGAAGGAAAAGAATCAAATGCTCAAATACAAAGTGGGGAGTAACTGGATAAGTGGTATTATAGTTGACAAGGATCTGAGGGTTACAGTGGATCACAAATTGAGAAATAGTCAACAACATGATGCAGCTGTGTAAAACTGTTGTTCTGGTGCGTATTAACAGGAATATGATATGGGAGATAATTGTTCTGTTCAACTGAGGCTGACCAGTGCTGAATAGAAGTACAGATTGCTCCTCTAAAATCCAGGATTCTCTGGTCTGGCAACATCCATGGTCCGGCATAACCACTGATGTTCCAGGACCAGAGAGTCCTGGTATGATGCAGAGGGGTGAGGATCCAGGGGCTAGTGTGTGGCACAGTTGAGCTGTGAGTGGGGAGCCAGGAGCTGGCTCACGGCTCAGCTGGGCTGCTTTGGAGGTGGGGGGAAGAGCAGGAAGCCAGCGTGCTCTTTAGGAAGGAGGTGAACATATTGGAGAGAGTCCAGAAGAGAGCAACAAAAATGATACAAAGTTTATAAAACCTGACCTAGGAGGACAGGTTAAAAAAAAAACTGGGCATGTTTAGTTTTGAAAAAAGATGGGGGAAGGAGATTGATAACAGTCTACAGATATGTTAAGGCAGGGCTACTCAACTTCAGAAGCCCTGGGGGCCACAGTGATACAGCAAATACCGAGGGTCGCAACTTAAGTGTGGTTGCATATATATGCAAATAGCTTCTTTCACACTGACGGGCATGAATACAAAGACTAAGGCGAGACTGTACGACATGCAGGCCCCATTTAAGTCGGTTCTGCTGATATTAATAAAATGTAATATTTACCCAATTTCCACCCATATGACAGCACTTTTAATGAGCAATGACAGTCCAGGAATTTAACTACTAAAATTCATATCAACAGAAGATTATTATATGGAGTATTCCTTTGTTTTGGCTCCCACCCGTGGGCCACATGTTCAGCCCCACGTAAACCCAATCTGCACTGTGGGCCGCAAACTGTTGGGGGAGGGATAGCTCAGTGGTTTGAGCATTGGCCTGCTAAACCCAGTGTTGTAAGTTCAATCCTTGAGGAGGCCATTTAGGGATTTGGGGCAGAAATTTGTCAGGGATGTTACTTGGCCCTGCTGTGAAGGCAGGGGACTGGGCTTGATGACCTCTCAAGGTCCCTTCCAATTCTAGGAGATAGGCAAAAACTAATGGGCCAGCCGTATGTGGCCTGTGGGCCACATGCTGAGTAGTTCTGTGTTAATATCTATTATAAAGAGGATGGTAATCAATTGTTCTCCATATGCACTGAAGACAGAGCAAGAAATAATGGACCTAATCATCAGCAAGGGAACTTTAGATTAGATGATATGAAAAGGATAGTTCAGCACTGAAATAGACTTGGGAATCCACATCATTGGAGTTTTTTAAGAGCAGGTTGGACAAACCCCTATGAGGCATAGCCTAAGTTTCCTTGTTCCTGCCATGGAGCAGGTGTCTGGACTTGTTGACTCTTGAGGTTTCTTCCAACCCTACATTGCTATGATTCTATGGGGAACCCATAACTCAGGCTCTGATTCAGAATAGACCTTAAAAACATGCTGAAGTCCATCTGTGTTCAGGCCTAATTGCTTTCCTGAGCAATTCCCAAGCCTGGGCTTATCTGGAAATACTGAGTTGAAGTCATTTCAATTAGGGATGTGAGGACTGGTTGACTACTCTATGAGCAAATGCTTATGGGATATCCTGTTGACTAGTAGCTTTCCCCCCCTCCCCTTGCTGCTTCTATCGGAAAGAGGCAGCAAGAGGAGTGGGGGGGAAGAGGTGGGAGTACTTCAAAGCAGCAGCGCCATGTGGGAGCCTGGGGTCAGTGAGGGAATGATCCAGGGCTCCACGTGGCTCTTTTGCCTTTGTAGTGTAGCTACACCCCTAGGGCAAAATGCATCAACTATTTGATTAGTCAATTACTCGCAATTTCACATCCCTAATTTCAATAGCCTTTAGTGTTGAAGAAAGTTGTTTGGTGCAGTTAATATTGAACATGTTTCGCCTGCGAAGTTCACTTGACAGCACTTGTATATAGTCTTTTCACTGTTTCCCCTGTGTACTGAGCTAGCTTCCCCTAGTTTGTGTTTCCCCTGTGTACTGAGGTAGCTTCCCCTAGTTTCTCTCATGTAGCAAAAGAGAAAAACATGTTGTAAAGAATGTGACTGTAAAACCTGCAGCTCATTATCAAGGGGTTTCTATTTGTTGTGATGCCCCTTTGATAGCTATAAAAACCAGCAGTCATCTGGTTTCTCCTTAAGGCTCCATTCATGGTATGTGAAGAGTTTAATCTTATGCAGCTAGGTTTCAGTTCTCAGAAGCTGACTTGATTGTAGAAATTGTATTCTTCTAGATCAGTGGCGTTGGTACAGATGAATGCAAAGACTGTCACTGTCCCAGTGTGATAGCAGATCTGGCATTGAGACGTGCTGCCATTTTGCTTTTGAATGAATCAGTGGTTTTTCTTTACAGGCAGAACTTCTGTTCTAGTTTCCAAACCCAGTAGCAGATGGGGAAATGCTTTTACTGACAACTCATTCTGCTTTTCTGTTGCTATCATGCAGTTGATGAACTCCAGAAACGAATACTCAAGTCAGAAAATCCCGTACCGCCACCTCCCCCACCACCACCACCTCCACTGCCCCCTCCACCTCCCAATCCAATTCGGTAAGTGCTAGAAGTTGGTCTATTCTGTCATTGGACAACAGATACTGTAAAATATATTTCTGAACAGCCATATTTAGACTCGTGCTGCTTTTACCTTTTATTAGCTCATGCGACTTGCTTAATTCTTTTACACAATCGAAATACAGGTTGAACCTCTCTAGTTTGGCATCCTCGGGACTTGACCAGTGCTGAACTAGAGAATTTGCCAAACCACAGAAGGTCAATATTGTCTAACAGCATTACCAACACTTCCTCTGCTTAATGGGATATTAGAGGACATTTAGGGGTAAATTAGAGCTACATTACAGCACAGAACACTGAGCACCAGGACTGGAGGCTGTAAACAAAGTATATGGGACTGTGGGAAACATGGCTGCACATCCATGATAAGAGGACATCTGGCTAACTAAAATCATACCAGAACACAGATGTTGCTGGATCAGAGTGCCGGACTAGAGAGATTCAATCTGTATTTTATTCAGTTCCCCTGCAACTTATATACACATTTGAATAGAATGTTTAGAATATAAATTCATCCTATGCTATAAACCTCTTGAGAGACATTCCATAGCAAGTCAGGGTGGAAAAGACAATCCATTTTAAATGCCTGAATAACTTTTATATGTGTTCAGAAGCTCAGAAGGAATTTGAAGTGTTTGGAGTAATTATCATAGATAGCTACATTTACAGGACATATTTCATAGAGTGCTTTAAAAGTTGGGAGTTAGAGACATCATTTATTTAGGACAGTTTTCTGGATCTTCTGTTCAGAGAGATCTTTTTTCTTTTCAATAAGGTGTCATTATTTAAGATGGTACAGAAAATGTCAAGCCTAGGCCTTGGATTTGGTGATGAGAGAAATGTTGAAGAGTGTTCTAAAAGAAGTAGTAGCTAAATTGTGATATAAACAGATTATTTTACAAACCTATGAACAATTAAACAGGAATTATTGCAACAGTTTATTTCAATCTGTCCTGAACACAATACTGTCTATAGAACCAAAAGAACTTGCATATTATATAACATCACAAATTGCAAGAAAAATAAAAATCCGTAATGACTAATATGGGCATTTCAAAAGTTTATTTTTAATTGTATTAAACGACATGTATACAGTCCAGTTGCCGTAACAGGTAATCCAAAGAAAGACAGAAACAATAAAGTAAGTATATGCAATGTATTTATCATAAAATGTTATGTTTATGAAATGTAAATATAAATGGATATTTCAAAACCTGACATGAACCAGATGTAAATTATTTTACTTCAATAAGGAAGTAATATTATTAAATGAAAACATTTATTTTTACAACAGTCTCCTTGACTGGAAAAAAATGTTATTCTGAAGCATTCTTGGGATATTTCCTGATAGTGTAAAACAAATACACAAATGAAATGTAGCCATAAGATATTATGTTGCAGTGTAAACATCTCAACATTATTTTTGGCATAATGGTACTGTGCCAAGTTCAAATATATGATTTTTAAAGCAAAATTCCCTATTTGTGTTACTAATACATTTAAACTAAAAGATTTTCATTTGTTAGCATAATATTGAAGTGCTTGTACTGCTAACACTACAGAAGAATGTTTTTGGTTTTTTTTACAATCAATGGAATTAAACACATCTGTTGGTCGTAAGTTTTATAAACTTTTATTTTAAAAATAACCCCAAAATACTGCCACTTGAAAGTAATTATATTTCACAGTGCTTATCATGTTTTTTATATTTTTTTTTTAATCAAAACACACAAGCTCTGATTTTTTTCTGTTGATCTAGTAAACGTAGGTCAATATATATTCACTGAAGAATGAGGGAATAATATGCTTACCCTCTAGCAGTGTTCTCTGGTGAATAATGCTTGACATTAATATGTGCAATCTTTCATTCTTTTTATTCTGCGAGAGGGCTTTAATTTGTTGTGTCACAATGCCATGTTACCTTTTAATACTTAGCTCTTAAGTGTGCTACATGATGCCTGGCAACAGTAAAGGAAAAGTAAATAATATCTTTGTATTTTTAGGGTTGCTTCACCTCTGTCTCTGTATGGAAATAAAGATTAACACCTCTTTTGTAAATAGGAGAACTATAAATCAGTGATGCAAGCATTCAGTGCTGGCTTGTTTTATAATATATGACACATGTTCAGGGTCAGTTCTAAAGATACAGATGTTGTTCATAAGAGAAAGCAGGGTGAATATCTTCATTTTAATTGTCCTGAAAAGGTCCCTTATGTCCATGATTCGTAAGAGATCTCATCCTAGCAGCAGTGTGACCAAAAAAGAAAAAGCTCCTCCGCAAGAATCAGGTATGGCTCATCCTATTTCAAACAAATGGGGAGGGGAGTGTTAGGGGGCTGTCACTTGTTAGATAATTCAAAAATAAAATAGTTTTCAACACTTGCTTCCACCCGTTTTTGGAACCATTCAACCTTTGGTGTCGGTTTTAGTACAAAGCAGGTTAGTAAAGACTAATTATTGTTACTATCTGTTCATATTTAAACTGCAGAGCTGCAGTGGGGGTAGCTCCTGGACCCAGCACTAGTCGGGACTTATATCCTTAATAGGATAGTAGCACATGAAGGACCAAATGTGCTAGGTGCTGTGCACCTTTGTTGAAGAACAAAGACCCCAGTCTTGTAAACAGTTATACCCAAGCATAATTTTATGCAGATGAGTAGTCCCATTCATACTTGTACACACGAATAATTCACTTATGTAATTATTTGATGGATTGTCACTGTTTTCTCATTGTGTGTAACTGTCTATAGGAATGTGGACTAAACAGACAAGCCCAAGTGAGAGGAGGGAAATATTATCCCCATTTTACAGATGTGGTAACTGAGGCACGGAGTTTAAGTGATTTTTGCCAAGGTGTCACAGAAAGTTTATGGCTGTTAGCCGTTTACCAGACCACGAGAAATGAGATTACCAGTTACTGGTCCAAGATCATCAGAGAAATGACCTTGTAACCGTGTTATAAAGAGCTAATTGTATTTTCCAGTAACTGTTCAATGATGCTAGACCTATGTTGTCTTCATTTATTGTGGGTTTTTTTAACGGAAAGCATTTTAGATGTTTTGATTACACCTTTTCGTTGACTTTTCCCAACTCTGATTGAAGGAAATACTGTGAATAGTACGCCTCCCTCTTCCATTATTTATTAGTAAACTATTTAACAGTACTGATCTTTTTTCAATCACACACAAATTGCTTTTTCCCCTCATAGTTGAATGGTCATAAAAAAGATTAGAAGAGGTTTCTCTTGATTTGGTTACTGTATCTAACTTCAGATTTAGGACTTACAAGGAGTGATTCCTATTCCTCACAGCCAATTAATCTTTAACATTTGAAACAGACTGGGAAATAAAATCCTGGCATTAAATTGAGGCACAGTGCAGGAACTGCACTTTTATGGATCTTTAGTGTTATTTGGAGAGAGGGTTTTCTTAAAATTCCTGTTCTGTTAGGCACAGCAGCAGATTGGAATAGTGTTGACCATATTTCTCTATTTAGCTCTCCTAATAAGGTTGGCCTTTTTTGTATGGTACAATGAAATGGTTTTAGTCCTATCTTCCAGTGCATCAATATATTAGTTGGAAAAGCTGACCTTCATCAGATAAGACTTTCTGTTTTACGTGAACATTTCACAGGTCTGTTGTTGGGTTCCTTGAAAGCTAGATCCCTAGATAGTGTTTAGGTGTTTTCATTTTTACAGTTAGTTCTATTGTTTTTCTTTTGAGACTTTTGGGGACAGATTCAGCAAGATTCATGAATACATGCATTACTTTCAGCATGTCGAGTAGCCCCTTTCCTTGAATTTAAACATGTGCTTAAGTTCCTTGCTGAATTAGGGGCTTGATACTTCCTCATCTGTAGGCATCATTGGTTTGACCATCTTGACCAACTCTAATCAAGCCAGTGAGATTATTTCCATTTACTGTGGTTTCAGTGAGATCAGAATATGACCTCCTGATTTAGTTAAGGTTACTATCTTCTTGGGATTTGAACCTAAAGACCGAAGACCTGCAATTCCGACTACTCCGAATAAGACCTGGTTCCCAGTAGATGTAAGTGACTAGTCAACTATCCAGTAAGCCAGCGTTTCCCAAACTATGGGCTGTGGCCCAGTACTGGGCTGCGGGAAAAAATACCGGGCCTCAGCATGCCTGGTGGCTGCCGGCAGGGCCAGCCTTAGGCTGATTTGACTGATTCAGTCGAATAGGATCCCGTGCCCCTGAACCCAGAAGTGCCGGCGAGTTACAGAGCCAGGGGCCCTGCTCCACCAATATGTGGAGCTGGGTCTCTCCCCCTGGCTCTGCCTGGTGCTGGCGTGGGTCTCCCACGCAGGCGCG